AATAATGTACAGTATGTGGAAAATAATGTGTTTTTTTAACCTTATTAACCCGCATAAACATCATATGACCCCTTTAAACAATTAGTGTCTGCATACTAGTTATTCCATCTGGAGGGGAGTGTGCTTTACAAACCCAGCAAGTGGCAATTCTTTAAGGCCCAACAGTAAGCGTAGAAACACTCTTCTAGAGCCCGGGGGAACGGGGCCTCTGGAGCCAATGAGTAATCCACAGAGAGAATAGGCGCATTCAGATCCTTTGACCAGCTCTTCAAGTAATTCTACAATAGAGAGAAAAAGACACAAAGGGCCCCAGCAAAAAAAAAAAAAAACGTAACGAAATAATTTAGGTAAGAAACCTTATATAGGGAGGTAAAACTGTGACAGTCATACCTCATGTGATTTTGAAGTTTGTGCAACAAAGCCTCCACCGTGGAAGTGTATGAGCAGGCCTGGAGAAAGAGGAGCTGTCTGACGACTGAAACCCCCTGGCAGATAAAGCTGAGGCCCCTCGGGACGAGAAAGGGCCAACAGTTCTGCACTGTCCTGTGGGAAAAGTTTGAATGTGGAGGACAATTGGCAGAATTGACTGTTCGAAAGAAAATCAATCAAAGTCTAACTGTTTGACTTAAAAATATGTAATAAATTCTTTCTTTTTCATGAAACACACAAACCTGTCCTTGTCGGAGTGTGTGTGAGATCAAGCGCACTTTGACTGGCCCAGGGCCCCAGTGTGCAACTGGAGGATTCACAGAGACTGAGAGACTGGGGTCAGAGGCCAGTGGCAAACTCAGACATACAGCTGGTATGGTTAATATTACATTCACTTGCACCACAGTGGAAGCAATCCTTGTCAAACTCTTTAAAAGAGAAAAATTATAGAAAAAAAGATAACTGAAACCATACTGTCTTATTTAAACTTACCATTCAAAAGTTTGGAGTCAGTCAGATTTTTAAAAAGAAATGAGTATATTTGTTCAGAAAGAATAAACAGTTATTTAAAATTGAAATAATATTTCACAAAATGTTTAACTGTATTTTTGTTCAAATAAATGCAGCCTCAGTCAGCATAGGAGATTTATTAAAATATAAAAAAAAATCTTACTGACCATAAACTTTTGAACAGTACTGTAAATATCACTGCAACCCTACAGTTTAACAACAAGAACAATATAACAAGGTACTGATGTTGTTTAATTTGTTCTCACAGAAGCACACAACATACTTGTACTTACTGATAATAGCCCAGTCTCAGTAAGGTTCCAAAAGGTTTTCCAAAACTGCATATCTAGATTTTGAGTGATGCGCTCAAACTCTGTCCCCCTCAACTCAGGATCTACCACATATTTGCCAGATGTGAAGAAAGAAAGAGCAGCAATGCCTGTAAATAAATCAAAGTTCATTGGCGAAATGGATATGTAATTGTGTGAGAATTGTAAGAGACTAATTTCCCCACAGCAGTGTTTTATGGGAATAACAGACATAAACACATCAAAGAATGAATCATGTAGTCCTAATATTATGATGCACCCTATCTGAGTCTGCACTTACCTAAACCAGTCTGCTGTTTCTTGTAGTTTTCACCAAAGGACACCATACTGATGACCACCGTCTGTAGAAAAGGCCTGAGAGAGGGGGAAAACTTGGAGCAGAGACAAACAGATAGAGACTTTGTGTTTCTGGAACCATTTTGCATACGTCATAAACGGCACGCACCAGTGAAACGATAGAATCTTTTATTCATGGGAGGTTCTAAGTACTGTTAAAGAAAAAGGTCTTTATGCAAAAGAACTATTAATTATCTATTAATAAACTATTTTATCTCACCTGGAAGCCCAAGCAGCGACCATAAAAACAAGCTTTGTGCATGGAGGTGTACTCTTCCACAAACCGCTCGCTTAAACCCCCTTGCTCCTGTGAATAGAGCTGACCATGGGCATTGTCATTAAGTAATATCTGTGCCAGGTAAAGCAATGCCCGTAGCTGGCAAAGGGCACTACAGTATGCTTCCATTTCCGCCATATTATGGTCCATCCTGAAAAATGCTCCACTGTAGTTCGATGCGATGTAACGGGCCTTCTGAAGGATGTTTGTGACGCAGGAATGGACCACCTATGGAAAACAGAAAACATCAATGGTCTCTAAATTTGTACAATTATTTATAAAAATACACTGTTTATATATTTCCGAGGAGGAGGCAAGGGAGCCTCCTCAAAATATTGGATGAGAAAAAAATAGTACAAAAATAAAATTACACCAATATTACAAAATATAACATTAAAAAGTTTTTCTAAAGAAACATTGTCCAACTGCGACACCAGCGGGTAAAGTTACAGCGGTAGTCCGCGTCACTCTTGCCTTCCGAGCCCATTGAGTTTTAACAGACCCCCTAAAGTATGCATTGTGTTTGATGGGGGGGGGATTAAGAATGAATGGGTGAAAGTCACGTGAGAGGAGGCAATGCCTCCATTGCGATATTATTGGATATGACTGGTTATGTTCAGCTATGAATGATTCATACGATAAATCCAGCTTCTTGTGTTCATGTGGGTTCTGTTCTGATCCGAAAAATAGTTAAAAGTTACAATTTTATATATATACCACTAAACCACTAGATTACAGCGAAGAACAAATATCTTCACAGCTGAAAATGTATTTTATGACATGCCTTTATTTGCATCTAACCCCTAATTTGCAAATATAAAATAAAAAGTTATTCAACCTATAAAAATCCCCTTTTTTGTGCACTTAACTTAACTTTTTTAAATGAACCAGTAGTTACCTTGACTAAGGTCCGATATCCATTGCCAGGAGTCTGTGCATCCAAATCAAAATGGTGATAGACAGCAGTAAAGCCAGTAATCAAGGGTTCAACAGCACGACCATGCTCCTGAATCTGCCTCATGACCCCCAACAGACGATCAGTGGCGTCGGCATTTGAAGAATTGCTGCGGGATCCATTAAGAGCCAAGATGACATCCGAACATACCATCTGCAATGCTGCGAATACATCCTTATGATCCATGTCTGACAAACTGAGGACAGAGATATCAACAATAAAAATGTGAAACAACCCAAAAAACCTTCAAAGTTAACAAAGCACAAAGAAACAAATCACAAACAAAACAAAACCCAGTCTGGCAATGGCTAAACAAAGTCATGAATATAAACTATTGTGTTCTAGAGAGAGCAGAGACTGACAGATGTCAATGTCAATGGACACAAAGACTGAATGTAGGATCATGGTATATTCCTGCAGCATCTAACCCTTGCGTCATCAAAGTCCAAAAGAACTCATAAAACCAGCAACTTTCTGAAAACGTATGCTGGAAGGAACTAAATTCTATAATTATATTTGGTGGAATGATGTGTGACACAGATTTTTTTTTAAAAAGAAGCTTTTAAAAGGATTTGATTATCCTCTGCTATAATTACTGGAATAGGATTTCCAGACCATGATGAGAAAATGCAGTACAAATTGACCGTGTTAGACATGACACTGGATCTCAGTAGCCAAATAAAAGACTTGCTTCATGACAAGATACAGCAGACTAATTAGTTGTGACTGGTAATATATAAATTTAAACTATTGGCCCCAGGAAATGCAAAATTTGTAAAGGAAACCAAATTCAAACCGGCTACGGCTCATAGCTTAGAAATGAATTATTCACTCACACACTGCAGCCACTGTTACAGTTGAACTGATCCCTATTCAAGCACGTTACTCAACAAATACTTAAATGAGCTGAGAATCCAATTCACTTTCACTGAGTTTCACAATTAGATTGTGTGATAACAATCCAATCTGATCAATAAAACAATCTTACAAAGCCACTTTGCACTTTTAACCCACCATCATGTAAGGAATAGTATTGGACATTACCATATTATAGAACTTATATAGTATAATATATTATTGGATCACTTACATTTTCTTTAAAACATATATATCAACTTTTTAACACAAAACTGTAGAAAAAAAATCGTTTTAAGTATGCCTTATTAGTGAATGGCAACACCAGAAAAACAAAATGACTGCTGTTACGAACAGATGTATGGTGTGCAAAAAATTAGTTATAAAATATTCATTAGAAAAATATACAATATAATAAATTTATTTATTTAATATTAAATTGAATATTAAATTATTAACAAAATATTAAATATGTATTTATTACAAATATTTGACATTTTCATGAAGGGTAATGTAAAAGAGATTTTTAGAGAAAACCTATGAAGGTGGTTGCACCCAGATATAAAAAGCATTAAATATTTAATCAGATGTGTTGCTTGTTTTCCTGAGTTTTTAACAAAACAGAGGCTATGTGGCCTATTATAGTAGCCAAATGCAGTAGCCTAAAACAGCATGTAATATAAACGGATCTGGCAACCCAATTTGCGCGACACAGCGTTTGCCAGCTCCAGGGTGCGATAGGCTGCTCATTAACTTTCAATGGGATGAAACAGATATCACGAAACGTTTGGGATTGGTGGCCCCCCACTTACAAATTTAGGTGACGACGGTCAAGACCCCAGCTAGCCCCCAGAAAAGTTTTAAACATGCAGACTGAAAGGTTTCGGTTTGTTAACCAGCGCTTACCTGTCACTCAATGAGCTCCGCTGCGCGTGCAAGTAGCGCCTGAACCGCAAGCGTTTGCTGACAGCAGCACCGCATACTGACACGGCAAAACTATTGACACTCCGGCATTTTCATATCCAAACACAGCGTGGTAGATAATGTCTTGTGTTTTCGCTTCAACTTGCTTGTATCCTCTTCCGTGCCTGTCAAAGTTTCGACAAACCCGCAGCATCATGGGTACACGAGTCCAGTGCAGAGTCCTATCGACGTAGACGCGACTGCAATCAACGCCTACTATGTAGTGCTCTAGTTTAGTCAGTATTACATATGAGGACGTATAAAGAAATTCAGTAATATCTTTAAAAAAAATAGTAGACCTTTAGGCTATATAAATACATCATGCTTTAATAGGCCTATACAAAAACCTAATAATAAATATTTTTAATCGATAAATAAAAGTTATGGGGATTTTTTAAAATAAATATCAGCTATTTTTTTTAGAATATCAAGTGGGATTTATTATATTTTCATAAATATCACTTGTGTTTTAAATGTTAAATGTATACTGCTTATTAATTGCAATAGCCTGTCGCACAAATCAACCGTTTTATATTGTTATATCATCTGCATTTACATATTTGCTTTCCAGGTTAACTTATAGCACGATAAATGAATTATAAACAATTCATAACATATTAATGAATAATAATAAATAACAACTTAAAAAAAAAATCTCTTTCTTTCATGTGAAATGGTCACAGTGAGCACAGAGTGGCAGTCATTACCAAGATATTTGACTCCATGTCCAGCATGGTGAAGTTGCCTCTTTATCACCTAATGATACCCTCTGCTGGTCAAAGAGAAAACTGGCTCAACTCTGGAAAAAACTGAGGACCGAATTCCTGAACTAACTCATTTTAAGTGTTTTTTTAACATAGGAACCAAATCCAGTTCACTTAAAGTGAACCAGAAAGGGAACCAGCCGAAAGTGGCCTCAGTGAGAGCGCGTGGAGGGCTCAAACAAACTATAGGTGTGAAAACACCCTAAGTGAGCGTAGCTTGTGTGCTGTTAAAGAATCAACTTGCAGACAAATACTTGAGAAGTTATCGTTTAGAGTCTCAGTACAGGACAGTGATTGAAGTTTAAAATAAACATGTATTTCTGTCTTTTTTCAAATAAAGCCCCCAAATCAAAATAGTAACACTGAAGTCACATCTTTAAAGAGGGAGCTTCTAGTTTGTCTATTTTTAGGGTTCCCTATAATACTTTCACAACTTACAGCCATTAATGATTCTTCACTTCTTTAACAGTCTCTTTAACAGACAGAAAAGACTTTACAAGGTCACAAAGCACTAAATCTCCTGATGGCAGATCTCTATAGTTTCATTTAAAATAGTATTTAAAAAACTTCCCTCTGGCCATTCAAGATGTAGATTTGTTTCTTCATCAGAACAGAATTGGAGAAATTTAGCAGTTGGAATATTGTGATGTTTTTATCAGCTTTTTGGACTCTCATTCTGACGGCACCCATTCACTGCAGAGGATCCATTGGTGAGCAAGTGATGCAATGTTTAATTTCTCCAGTGTTCTGATGAAGAAATAAACTCATCTACATCTTGGCTGGGCTGAGGGTGAGTAAAGACAGAGACAGAACAAACTCAAAACAGATCTTTTTTTGATTAATCATATTTGCTTCTAGTCCTAGAACTTCCTGAAAGAAGTAAATGTAGAGTCTTTGACTTTAAAGCATGTATTCAGCTTTGTGTGATGCCTTGATGTTACACTCTTTACATCTTTTTACACATACAGTGCCGTTCACCAGCTGTCACCAGCTCAGGCTCTTGTTGTCTCTTTGGTTCTCACGTTACAGATGACAACTGTAGTTTTTGTATTTAGCACGCTCTGGCCTGGCATCACCCATACTGGTGGCTACCTAAAGAAGGCATGCTACCTAAATAAGCAGCGCTTTGCTGTCCCAGAGATTATTTTCAGGGAAGCTAACTGGCCTCAAATAGAGGTTTAGCTGAAACCAACTCAAAATGAAGGGTTCTTCAGCCAGTCCTATTTGTTAAACAGTTGCAAAAAAGCAGAATTGGAATAATAAAAAAAAAGGAATCAAATGAAAACTGAAAAATAACAAATGATCAGTCAGTGGCTGACATTTTCATAGGCTCTTCTTATCTGCTGTGCAAAATGTATATTATGTAAAAATAAGGAATTTAATTACTGAAATCACCCTTTTCTTATTATTTACATATTATATAATACATACATCTATAAAGTATTTTAGGAGTGTGTGCATTTTTATTTCTATTTGCACTTTATTCATTTTATTCATTTCTAATAATTTATTATTCCAATAAGCCTTTCTCCAGGGGATTTATGAACTCTTATCTGTCTTATCTTATCTTAAAGGGCAACTTTTAAAGTGTCTATTATTTTAGGACTTTTAACAGTTTCTATTTTTGGCATTTATTCATTGCTTAAAATTAAAGCCTTTGTGTTTTTTTTTTTTACACAAATGTTTAACTTAAACAGGTTCTCTTCAAGATGCCCATGCTTGTTAACAATGTCTCGTTTGATGAGCCTACGTGCTGATGTTCTGCAATGCAATTTTGAATCCGAAAGGCCTGCGGTTTACTGATGTTTAGTATGACTGCTTGAGAGGTATTGACCGTTGCAAAGTGAGGTGTTTATTCCATGTATCTAAAGTTGTGTCTGTGGGATGAATGAGGACAATTCCAGGCTTTTCTGAACCAGTCACCAATCAAACCAATCATGATGACTAATGACTCTAGATTTGACTAAAGGCACCCACAAGCAAATCCCAAACAAGGGGTCACGATTACAACATCGACCAACAGGGGCTAACTAGATCATGCTAACCTAACCAAACCTCAGATACAATCTCACTCTCTTTGGTCACACTTTGAGGTTCCTGGTAGTTCTGTATATGGTTTGTGTATGGGTATTAACAACACAGTGGTCTGAATGGCCGATGTGTGGCAGGGCAGCGGTTTTGTGGGCACTGCCCATTCTGGGCTATCCATCTTTGATCAACAGCACAAAGACTCACTGCCTATGATGACCAAATTGATTTTGTTTGCTTGCCCATTTATGAGCTAGTAGCCTCAGTTTTATACTACTACAGTTTTTTAACATTACAAAAGCCTCCTTACTTTCTAACAGACATCCTTTCGCTGATGCACAAAGCACTAATGTTGTTATTCACTGAAAACCTTGCCTTCCATCCTAGGTCTGAAATCTTGCTTGTGTTCTTGCACTTTCAAACCAGAACCAATCAAATTTTTGTTAATTTTCTTCTCCTCCTTCTCCTTATTCAGTTTTAAAAAATGCAAAAAAAACCCCAGAAATTAACAAAAAATAAACAAAAATAGCTATACACATTGAAAACAGTAAAAACACACAAATAACATTGTTAATATTAAGCAGAACAACTGTTTTCAATATTCTTGTATTATATTAAAATTATTAAAATGATGAAGCATCATGTGACACTGAAGACTGGAGTGATGATGGCGAAAATTCAGCTTTGCCATCACAATAAAAAATGATAGTCTAAAATATTTTTACAAATATTTTAATGGTGATAATATTTCTCAGCATTTTTATTGCATTTTTGACCAAGTAAATATATTTAGATATTTAAAGAGAGCAGTACTAATTAAATGAAACTTTTCATGATTTGGATAGAGGTCAGCTATCATGTAACAAATTGCCTACCCATAGCTCTACTATAACACTATTGCCCCAACATGCTTTATTGTGTAAACTTCACTTGTCTGACTCACATACGTCACACGTTCCTTTTCATCTGCGAGTTGTAACTTTTAGAACATTTTCTCATCACCAAAACATTCCCTCAGAAAAGTAAATGACATTCTGCAGTTTAAGCAATGTTCAAGTGTGTTTCAGGTGTTTGCACACATTCATATGTTGCGATTGGGTCCTGTTTGAGATCTCAATGACTTCAGAAAAAGTCAGAAATTTTAATATAACATAACATTTCTCATTAAAATTGGCCAATTGTCTGATTTGGAGAAACATCACAGAAAAAGCTGATACACAGGATTTTTAAAGCTAACAACACATGCCATCATTTACACTAAAACAAAACTGTTCCTTTTGAGTCTGTTTCTGAAAATATACACTGTAAAAATGATTTTTCTAAGTTGTAAATAAAACAAAGATGACTGGAGTACTATTTCAGTCTTTCGACTTCAACATTTCCTGGTTAATTCAAAATGTCACTTGCTGCTTCTTTGTAATTATTTGTGAAATTGACTAGCAATTCCTAAGTTCAATTCTTTTATATGCTTGCATCCCTAAAAGGATCAGGAAAAAAAATGCATGTCAGTGCATGTTTCTTCTTTAAAATACAGGATTTGTGCGCTCATGGATTTTCTAAAAGCATACAAGGAGGGAAATTTCTGTGAAAGTGATACACTACTCATCCCAGTGAGTCATTCTTTTATATTCCTGTCAAAGTGTTTTCTAACACTTAAGTGAAAATCTTTTGCGCATCCAGATTCGATTCTAAAATGAGAAGTTCAATATTTAGCTAGTGTTTATAGCACGACACTGATGTTTGATTGCACCACTGATAGACTGGACGGTAAAATACACATAACGGGTGTGTTCGCATGTAAATACAGGTCAATACAGGTTCATGGCGTTCTGACCTTCTTCTTAATGTAAAAAGTACTTTCCTGATAGCTGAGAAGTCCTTCATTGGCAACAGTAAATATTAGCAACCACTCAGGAGGCTTGTTAATGGCCAAACCTTTATTCCTGTGACACAACCAGTTTCATGAGCATGAGGCCTGTAAAATCAAAACAGTACAGAGCGTCTCCACCTTCAAATGCGGCTGAATGACATACGCTCAGCAGGACACATGGAGAGACTGATCTATGTCTGAAAAAGACAGAGAGTATTAAACCTTATGTGTGTTGCTTTACTCTTTCCAAAGTCAACCCGCCTTAGCAGGAAGTTAAAAACAAAAAAAGAAGAGAAAGCATCTTTTGCTGGAGTGTGTCAAGGAAGTCCCAGAATCTTTACTGTGCTGAAAACAAATGATGCTTTATGGGCATGAGAAAGCTTTTTCAGGTGCATTTCAGCGTGTAGTTTTTAAAATCTCCTTTAGATCTGACGTGTTTTTATTCAAGCTAAACTGAAACATGCCTTGAGGGTTGCCTTCTTTTTGG